GCCCCCTCTAAACCCACGCCCCCCTCTTAGCGTTCCCCGCGGAGCAGCAGGAAAACTTAACGCCGGGTTATTTTTTTGGGGAAAAAAGCGTTTAATTCCTCATCCGTGGGGCTGAGGCGGGAAAAGGGGGCAGGCCCCGCTGTCCCGTGGTCTGCCCGTCGCAGGCAGACCCCCAAATTCTGGGGGTTTTTAGGGTTGAGCTTTGCCGTCCTTGCTACGCCAGATGACCAAAGTGACCAGGAAAGGGATGAGGCAGATGGGAGCGATGATCATGGCCAACAGGACATCCTCGGGTGGGTCGAAGTAGACGGGGTGCTCCTGGGTGCAGTTGTGGAAATAACGATGGTGGCTCTGGAAGATGTACTGCTCCGCCAAGGCGTTGGGGTAACCGTAGTGGAGCTGGTCGGCCCAGTCCTCCAAGCAGGCCTGCAGGAAGCTGTAGGGCCTGGGGGGAGAGAGAGAGGTGGGGGGCTAGGAGGGGATGGGGACCATGGACCCCCCCGGGTAGCCACCCCCTTGGCACAGCAGCACCCCTCTGCACAATCCTCTTGGAACAGAAGAGGTTCCACTCAAATATGAGGAGAAACTTCTTCACGGTGAGGGTGACAGAGCCCTGGAACAGGCTGCCCAGGGAGGGTGTGGAGTCCCCTTCCTTGGAGATTTTCAAGCCCCGCCTGGATGCTCCTGAGTAACATGCTCTGACAAGCTCTAGGCAATCCTGCTTCAGCAGGGGAGTTGGACTAGATGATCTCTCTGGTCCCTTCCAACTCTAAAATTCAGTGAAATTCAGTGAAATCCCTGCACCCCACTGGAGCTGCTGGAGGTGGCCCTGAGCCCCTCAGGAGCTCGTGGCCCGTTGGCACAACCTGGGGACTCTCCCCTCATCAATCAGTTTTACTGTCTCGGGAGATGCTCCACTTGTGGGTCTGGAGGGACCACCAGCAATGCCCCCACCTAAAGGTCACCATGTGTGGTTTCCCCAGCCACAGATGTCCCCAGAGCTGGTCACAACCCCCCCTGTGTCCCTGCAGAGCTGCCCAGGAGGGCTCTGTGCCCGCCCCGTACCTGCTGATGACTTTCCACTCGCACAGCTCGGCCGCCGTCACGTTCCTCATCAGGTCGACGAAGATCTCCCAGCACCTCTGGGTGATGTTGCTGTACGTCTCCTCTGCAGGGGACGGGCGCTGAAGTGGGGGCAGCACATCCCTCCCGACCCCTTCCCTGCCCACCACAGCCCCAAACCCCGCACCCAGACCCGTGCCCAGCCTGGCGGGGAGGACACAGTGGGGGGACCAGACCCCACAGCAGCCCTGAGGTGATGCCCAGTAGGAGGGTGGGCTTCTACCAGCTGCCCCCACTATGCCCAGTGCCGGGGAGGGCTCTGTGGCACAGCCAGGCTATTTTGGGGATGGACAGAGAACATGCAGCCAGGGGAAAGGGGGGTCCTGGCCAGGGCACCGTTGGCCCTGTGGCTCTGCCTGGCCCTTGCCAAGTCCCAGCACTCACCCACAAACTGGGTCGTCCAGTTGAACGTGGCCATGGGTGGGCTCGTCCTGTTCTCCTGGGCGAAGCCCTCCGCCTCCATGCCCGTGTGGCAGAGCCCGGTGCCCAGGAGCGCTGCGGAGGGGAGGGGACAGGGTGAGAGGGGTCGGGCGCTGGCAGGGGCTGGGGTCTGCAGGAGGGAAATGCTCCCGGGTGTCTCTCGGGGGTCAGGGTCTGGGGCCAGGTCATAGAATCATAGAATTGCCCAGGCCGGAAGGGACCTCCAAAGGCCATCTAGTCCCACCCCCCCGCAGTCAGCAGGGACACCCCCAACTAGACCAGGTTGCCCAGGGCCTCGTCGAGCCTCTCCTTGAATATCTCCAGGGAAGGGGCCTCAACCACCTCCCTGGGCAACCTGTTCCAGTGCTCCACCACCCTCACAGTGAAGAACCCTCTCCTCATCTCCAGTCTAAATCTGTTCCCCTCCAGCTTGAAGCCATTGCCCCTCGTCCTGTCACTGCAGGCCTTTCTAAACAGGCTCTCCCCAGCCTTCCTGTAGGCTCCCTTCAGGTACTGGAAGGCTGCTATTAGGTCTCCCCGGAGCCTCCTCTTCTCCAGGCTGAACAACCCCAGCTCCCTCAGCCTGTCCTCGGAGCAGAGGTGCTCCATCCCCCTGATCATCCTTGTGGCCCTCCTCTGGACCCTCTCCATCAGGTCCATGTCCTTCTTACATTGAGGGCTCTTATACTGAGGTCGTCCAGGGGCTGTGGGCAGGGGGCCAGTCAGGCTGCGGGCAGCTGCACAAGGGCTCGGAGGGGCTGGCTGGGGGTTGTGGACCCTGGGTCATGGCACAGGGGTGAGCTGTGCCCCCCCAACCCGTGAGGAGCCAGCTCAGGGCCACTCCATTGTCCCCGTCCATTGCAGCAGGATGGGGCCGGGGCAGGAAGAGGAAGCGCTGGCCATGGCGCAGCACTGTCGGAGAGCCCCTCCGCCCACCGTCTGCCCCACACCCAGCACGGACCACCATGGGTGGGGGGCATGTGCCACCTCTGCCCTGCCAGCCACTTGCCCACCACCTTGTCCCCAAAAGCCCCACGGCCTGAGGAAACCACCCCGTCCATATTCCAGCCTTCGCCGAGGGCCCACGGCGTGGGGCAGCGATGTGGGTCACGTAGTGAGGCACCCTGGCTCCTGTGGGGCTCCAGCATGGCCGGGCACTGGCCATGGGGTGCTGCTGGGCTGGCACCGTGGCTGTGGCAGGGGAAGCCTGCCCTGTCCCCGATGGCCCCGTCCAGCCCCTCTCTGTCCGGGGGTCTCTCAAAGCCCGGGGCTTTGCAGGGCTCCCCAGCTATTCCCGTGGGATATTTGCCCACGATGGGGGATGAGTGTGGCAGGGGACGCCACGCAGCTCCTGGTGCCCTCCTGCCCCTGGCCCCGCAGGCGATGGCCACCCCAGCCGCTGCCACGCTGGCCCCGTGCCGGGGCAGGCGGTGGGTTGGGCTGAGCCGGGACCCCATCCCCGGGCCCCACGCGTGGGAGGGCGGCCGCGTGCGGGGTGGTGCGAGGCACGGAGACCTCCCGCCACCGGCAGCCGCGGCCCCGGGGCCGCCCCGCACTTACCCCAGAGCAGCAGGAGCCCTCGGGAGAGGCGGCCGGAGCCCGTCTGTACGCGCCGTGCCATCCTGCTGGAGCCTGCCGGCTAACGAGCGGGACAAGTATTTCAATGGAAATAACAGGAAGCAACTCCTTTCCTCTGACAGGGGCAGTTTGACTACAGGAGACGTGTGAAAAATGAGATTGCTCAGCGCTGCGCGGACGCGGCGCTCCCGGCGGGACCCCGCAACCCGGTGCCGGCCCCCCGTGGGCATCACCCGGGCAGCCCGAGCCTCACCCGCCCGACGGAGGCTCCGCTCCCCGCGCAGCGCGTCCCGCTTCACCAAGCCGCTATTTGTTTACTTGTGTATTTCTCTTTAATCCTGTCTGGGCTGGGTTGTGAAATCCCTCGTCTCCTGCGTGGAGGGCAGGCAGCCCGGCAGCCGGGGGGAGTGGACGGGGAAGTGTAATGTCCCCAGACGGGCGCTGCCGCCCGGGCGCGGGGGCGGCGGGGGGACCCACAGACCCGACACCTCGGGGTCTGGCTCCCCGGGCACCTGCCCCGGGGTCGGTGTGGCAGCCCCGGGGCCATGGAGGGAAGGGCGGTGGTGGGACCTGCGAGGCCGAAGCAGGGAGAGGGCAGAGATTTGGCCGAGGTTTCCGTTCCCCGGCCCCAACGCCTTCCTCCCGCACCGCCCAACCCGGCGCCCGCCCGGCTCTCCCGGCGCCCCTCACTCCTGGCACAGCTCCCACCGGTGGGGCCACGTCCCCCTGCCCGGCAGCGCTGCTGGGGACCACCCCAACCCCACGGCATTCCCATCCGAGGAGCAGGCTGAGGCCGGGCGAGCTCGTTTCACCTCTGGCCCGGGGCAGGACGCCAGCCCAGAGCTCCCCTCTGACCGAGCGAGTCGGAGCAGGATGGAGCTGGGCTCGGAGGGACCCTCCCTGCTGCGGGAAGACGATCTCCCCGGCCGCACGCTTCCTGGCAAACAGCGTCCTGGCAGAGCCCCCTGATGCTCCCCAGGCCGGGCAGCTGCCGCTCCAGGGCACAGCAGGGCTTTTCACGGGCCAGTGGCCACATCTGGAAGCCATCAGGGCCAGTGCTCTGGGGGCCACGGGGTGGGAGCCCCCTGGTCCTGCTCTTTGTCGGAGCCTCTGGCCGGGCGGCGGGGAGCCTCTGCCAGGGAGACACCCAGTGATCTCAGCGCGGCCTCCCGGTGTCCGGAGGGATGGGATGGGACGGGATGGGCAGGGACAGGATGGTGGCTGCCAGCCAAAGCCTGGGGCTCCCCCCCCTCCCCAGCCTGGCATCCCTGCCATCCCCCGCCGAGGAAGGGGCTCAGCCCAAGCAGGGTCGGGACCCACCACTTTGGACCCTTCTCCCGATGCTCTCCCACCCCCGGGGAAGATGTGGGGTCCCAAAACCCAGGCCCAGCCTCCCCCCAGTGCCAGGGGACCCACTCCATCCCCAGGGACACCCAGCCCCCCATCCCTGCTCTCCCTGTTCCCCTCACCCTCCTCCTGCTTGTTAGCTCCCAGGGCCAGGAGGGTTGGGGGCTGCTGGTGGCCCCCAGCTGGCACGGGGGCAAGCAGGGGCTGGGCAGCTGCCCGGTGGCATTTGAGCCCCTTTTTGGGCTCTGCTGAGTGTGAGGGCACCCATGAGGGGCACAAGGCAGCCGAGCCCCACGGCCACAGCCACGGCCATGCCAGGGGGCAGCCCGTCCAGCTCGGGGGGCTTGGCCACGGTGCAGTTGGTGAAGTATTCGGCGTGGACCTGCAGGAAGAAGGCGTCGAGGACGGGGCCGGGCCAGGGGCAGGAGAGCAGCTGGGCCAGCAGCTGGGTGCAGCTGGAGAGCTCGCTGTAGGTGCTGTGGGGACACCAGCATCAGGCCACCCCGCCGGGATGGGGGCACGGCCACAACCCCACCGGTGGGGCTGGTGCCCACCCACCTGCCGATCTGGTCCCAGCGGCAGCGGCTGCCCTCGGGGGTGGCCATGAGGGTGGCGTGGAAGGGTGCCCAGCAGTAGAGGGAGATCCAGTCCTGGTAGGTGTCCTGGCAGCGGGCTGGCCCCCCCAGCACCTCCGGCGGTCCTGCAGAGCACCAGCCAGCCCCTGGGATGCTACCCAGCCCCCAGCTCTCCCCCAGAGCCCAGTTTTGGGGGGGGTGGGGGGCTGTTTGGGGACACTCCCAGCTCTGCCCAGTGAGTGCCATGTGGGAGCTCAACACGTGGGACATGGGGGGGTCTCACGCTGGGGCTGCCGGTGCCCCATGGGACCCCACGCTGGGACCTGGACTCATCAGCCCCCACACAGACCACAGGGGCCGTGGGGAGGACAGTGGCGTCGCAGGAGGGCAGATCTGCTCACCATGACCATCCTCATCCAGGTACAGATAGAAGCCTGGAAGGACAGACGGCGCCATGGAAAGGCCGGACCCCGTCCTGGGGGGGTGCGGACATGGCCTTCACCAGTGGCAGCACCCTGGGACGATGGCACCGAGGTCTTACCTTCGTCCTCGAGGTCCCCGTACTCGACGTCCCCACACCCTGCAGCAAGGGAACACGGGGTGCCAGGGTGGCACAGCCAGGGACACCCCCAGCACCCAGCCAGCTTTGGGGGTGCTCCCAGCCCACTGGGACCCCCCCCTCCCGCCAGGGCGAGCTGAGCACAGTGGAGGGGACACGGCCGAGGGGGAGCAGGAGGCTCCAGAGTGATTTCTGAGCCAACCCCAACCCCCGTGGGCAAACCCTGCCCCCCGACGGGGGGGTGGGGGGGAGCTGCTGCCCCACGGGGACACGCTGCCCGACGGGACCCCCGCACCCCACCCCCTTGGGCGCCTCCTTACCCCGCTGGAGCAGAGGCAGGAGCAGGCAGCAGAGGAGCTGCACCCCACGGAGCATCCTCCCGCCTCCGGTACCGCCGCCACCGGGCTGGGGGGGGCGGGCTGCACCCGGGGATTTATCCCTCTCCCGTCCTCCCCCCCCCTCTTCCCTCCGCCCAAACTCCCGGGAAGGTCGGGGGGGGGGAACGGGAAGGACCGGGCCACCGGGCTGACTCAGCGAGAAGGCAGCAAGATGATGAGGGGTGCGGGCATGGCGGCCCCCCCGCTTGTCCCTCCCCTCCCTACGGCGACCCCCACCTCCCGGGAGAGCGGAGACCCCCAACTCCCACCCGGGAGGGGGGAACCGGAGCGGTAAAACCGGTTCCGCGGCCCCGCCCCGACGGGGGGGACCCTGCGCGCCCCCGGCCCCGGGCCGGGGGGG